CCAGGCCCATTGGCCCCCTCACTCCTCTGGACACCCACAGGCTCATCCCTCATTCCCCTCATACGTTTGTTAACACCTCCCCTTCTCAGGGAGAGAAACACCCTCCCAAGCTACTTTGGGGTGATAGAAAGGTTCTGTGTCGTGATTTTGGAGGTGGTTTCACAGGTATAGACATCTATGGAAATTCACTGAATTGTGTACTTCAAATGGGTGCAATTTATATTATATGTAAGTTAAAACTTGGTAATGTTTTTAAAAATGGGCTTCAAAGAATGTAAGAAAATGCATGTGGTCATGGTTTTATATGTTAGATTAAGATTATTATATGCCCACTTGATGCCCTGGCCAGGTGGCTCAGTAGATAGGAGCATCGTCCTATATACCAAAAGGTTGCGGGTTTGATCCCTGTTCGGGGCATGTATGGGAGGCAATAGATCAATGTTTCTCTCGCTCTCTCTCTCTCCCCTTCCCCCCCCTTCCCTCACTCCATCTCTTCCTCTCTTCCTTCCTCCTCCACTCCCTGCCTTCTCAAAAAAAAAAAATTTTAAAAATCCTGGCCAGGCATGGCTCAGCAGTTGAGCATTGACCTAGGACCCAGGAGATCGGGGTTCAATTCCCGGTCAGAGCACATGCCCGGGTTGTGGGCTTGATCCCCAGTTGGGGGCATGCAGGAGGCAGCCGATCAATGACGTTTCTATCTCTCTCTCTCGCTCCCCCTTCCTCTCTCTGAAATCAATAAAGATATATCTTAAAAAAAAAAAAAAATCAAACATATCCTCCTGTGAGGATAAAAAAAGATACATACCCACTTGAAAAGTCCTATGAAAATAAAAGAAAATAATAAACATTGATTTTCTGAGTAAAGAGCATTTTTATCAGTCAGCAAAATTTTAACTTAGTATTTCTTGAGAATATGGTGTTCTGTTTCTCAAAACTTAATTCTCAATTTTAGCAAGCAGAACAATTTTTCAATCTCCCATTTGTTCATAATTTATTTTTGTTTGCACTTCTTTACCTTGGAAAGTATTTTTACATTTTAAACAGTTTTAAGGTAGTTTTGGGATGTAAGAGTAATTACAAGAAAATGTTTAATCTGTGTAGCTAGTTTTAGGTTGTTTTATACATTAAGGGTTAAATCTGGAGATGATCTGTTTAGAGCCATGAAGTATGTCCTGTTCGGTCTCTGAAAATCAAATTGTATGGGTTTATTTGTTTTTTGATAGAAAAACATTGATTTGTTGTTCCACTTATTTATGCAGTCGTTGGTTGATTCTTGTATGCGGCCTGTCTAGGGAACGAACCTGCAGCCAAATTGTGTAGATCTTATTTCTTTTCCTAACACTTATCTTTGGCATGTCCTTTCCCTGCAGGCATGATAGGTTTTCTGATCAAAGTTGGTTGTGCTCTGCCATTGCTTGGTCTGAACCGTGACATTCATACTATGTGGACTCATGGTGGAGTCCTGCCTGGACCCAGTGGCCCAAGTGCACTGCTCACATGTAGTGCATTGCTTCATCCCACAGGCGCCTCCCCTGGTGCTGACTGCTTGTTTCTCTGCCCCAGGGTACCATCAGCGTTGGCATCGATGCCACTGACCTCTTTGACCGCTATGAGGAAGAGTATGAAGATGTGTCTGGAAGTGGCTTCCCGCAGATAGAAATTAACAAGATGCACATATCCCAGTCCATCGAGGTACAGTGCACAGACACCCCTCACCCCAAACCCCACCCCCGGCACGGTGGGCTGGGTTAACAAGGCACAGCGCATGAGCAGCTGGGACAAGGGAGTCTGCTCAGGGTTTTTCTCACCTTTATTTATGAAAGGATACAATGAACCACTGAAAAAAGAGCTCCAGTCCCAGCCTGTTGTTACTGCAGCATGAGTGCCGGGGCAGAGGCTTAGCTTCCAAGGTCACAGAGCTTTTCAGTCAGGAGGTGCAGATGGCCTGGGAGCCTGAGGTCATGGTGATTTTAGGAGAGAAAGCAGACCTCATGGGTAATTCAAGAACGAGTCTTAGTTTTAAGGCACACTTTACTGTGCTGAAAACAATATTCAGCTGAGCCCTGGGGTGACTAAAATGGCATCTTTCTGCCCGCTATTTGGATGTGGCAATCTGAGGGTTACAGTGGGTCTCTGTCGCCTCAAGTCACTTATTCTCAAGTGCATCATCCTAGACCCTAAAGGCCTACCTCAGTCAGTACAGCCATAGGAAGACACATAGTGATCACTGTAGACTGACACCGTGGGCAAACTAAGAACCAGCTCTTAGCTCTGTTGTTTCCCCTGGTTTTTTGACATTTGCCCATTAAATCTTTTACAAACCATGACCTTGGTGGCTGCATGCAGGTCAGATGGCAAAGTAGGGGAGAAGCGAAGCCGTTGAGGTAATTCCACTCCCCAATGCCATTGCACTGAGGAATTGCCGCACAGTGGGCCTTGCTCTTACCATCTAATCATTAGACTTCTGTTCTTGGCATTTCCTGTTGCTTTGACGCCTTTATTACCTGCAAATGTCATTTCCTAGGCACCATTGACAGCTACAGACACAGCCATCCTCTCTGGAAGCCTCTCGACCCAGAATGGGAATGGTGGGGGTTCCATTAACTTCGCGCTCAGACGAGTCACCTCTGCGAAGGGATGGGGAGAGGTAAGAATGTCAGCCAGTGGGCCATGTTCATCACAAAGACTTGTTTTTGAACATTTACACTCTGAAAGCTGGCCCTTGATGACCCAGGTTGTCCTCATCACTGTGCAACAGGGTACCAGATGTCAAACTTCACAAGATAACTCTCACCAAGAGAAAAATATGTCTCTCACCTGAGAAGGAATCCCTATAGTCTGCCGAACACTCACAGTTAGGCTAGAACAACACAGTTTCCCTGGAGATGCCAATTTCTAGAAATCTAACTTCTGGAAACTCCGCATCTTTGTTCCCCTTAAGCAAAAACCTGTAGGCTATTCCATTTCCCTACACAATTCAGAAGGCAGTGCCTATGTCTTGGTGCGCTGGTCCACTGGTTGGCAGTCATTTAACAGCCATATCTGCCAAGCAAATTGAGCTGCATCAAATTAACATTGAAGAGTTGCCTTGAAAGTCACCCAGACTAGTAAATGAGGCAGCCAGGACAGGCTGGGCTTCCAAGGCTGTGAGTGCGGAACTGCTGATGGGTTTAACATCAGGCCCCTGAGAACCATCTCCAGTCACCTGTGATACCTGCAGACGATGAAGCAGAGCAGAATGAAAATGCAGAGATAAGGGCACTGCGTGGGAGGGGAGGGCCCACACCTGACTGTGCAGGCAGGCGCTCTGCAGACAAGGGAGGGACTCCGATCCAGTCTCCCCTCCAGACCTGAGCTTGGGAGGTGAGCAGTGGAGCTTGGAGGGAGGGCTCCTTTCTGAAACATTCCTCAGTGGAGCCTGCCTTTTTTGAGTCAGTGGACACAGTCACCTCCATCTGGCAGAGATGGATGAGACAGTAAGAATCTTCCAGCCCCTGCTTTTCGAGCACTGGCAGAGGCCTATGACATGGAATCAGATGAAGGAATTGTGCCAGTGCTGACCTGAGGCCTGGGCTACTGGTGTGAGAGGAAACACCTTTAATGCTTTCTTTTTCCTTTTTGAACAGTTAGAATTCGGAGCTGGGGATCTGCAGGGCCCTCTCTTTGGTCTAAAGCTGTTCCGTAATCTCACGCCAAGATGGTAAATATAAAGAGATCAATGCTCTTTGATGGTCTTTGTGGATTAGGGGATCAGAAGCTGTGTGTTCTTTTTGTCAAGGTCGTCTGGAATTGCCTGTCTGCCCTGCGGGGTCATTAGGGCAGGCCCTGCAGAGCCAGCGAGGAGCCATACTGTGTAGGAGCAGGATGCACAGAGCACTGGGTGGGGGCCTGCTGCTTGGTGGTCAGTGCCCCGCAGGTCCTCTATGGGGCTGAGGCTCTGGCCCTGCCTGGTCACTGTGGGCTGGGAGGACCCGGGAGACTGGAGGGGAGGTGCCTTCATAGGGACATTGGTTAGCGATCTTTTCTTTTTTTAAATATATCTTTATTGATTTCAGAGAGAGGAAAGGAGAGGGAGAGAGAGAGAGATAGAAACATCAATGATGAGAAAGTCATTGATCGAGCCCACAACCTGGGCATGTGCCCTGACCAGGAATTGAACCCTGATCACCTGGATCCTAGGTTGACGCTCAACCTGTGAGCCACGCCCGACCGAGCTGGTTAGCGATCTGAAACATTTATGAGCTTGTGCACCATTTGTCCCCGAGAATGTGCGTAAAGCTCTGAAAAGGGGTTCCGTAAGCAGTGGGCAGCTGGGGAGACCGCCTGGTCTCAGGGAGTGAAGGTGCTAGAGCTTTAAGCCCTGCGGCATGATGTCACACTCCCTGTCCCTTCTAGAGCAGCGGGGGTGGCCTCATTCCCATTTGGGGGTACCCGTGTGAGCTCAGATAAGGACTGAGTGGAAGGTGTAGCCTCTCCCTGGGGGATAAAGTACAGCTCAAGGAGGCCTGGGTAGCTTGCTTCCTCTGGGCGTGTATTGGTGTCTGCCACATTCTGCGGGGTAAGACCAGTCCCTGCCCTTCGTTCCCTAGTAAAAGCAAGTCTGCAGGTCCATCCGACATACGGAGGGTCAGGGAAGTGTGAGGTAGAGGACGGCATCTGGGACAGAAGACCGCGTTTTGTGAAGATGAGCACAGCCTGGGTGGAGAACGCGGGGAGGGGTGCTTCAGGCCGCCGTGTTGGGTAGAACCCGGCTTCTGCCTCTGCTCTAGGACTTGGATCAGGGTCTGGGAAGGGGACAGGATTTGTACTTTTAACCAGAGCATCAGGTGAACAGTGTCTTATGTGGGTGTCATCGTGGCCCTAACCTTGTCTGCTTAGGATTGTCACCTCTGATGCTGACTGAAAGCACAGATCCCTGCCTCAGCCCCTAGTTTGAGCAGAGCAGGTCATTCTGAAGATCGGACACCTGAGGAGACATGTCTTTGAAGAAAACCCGTAGCTCATTTCTTCTCGTTGAGCCTCAAAGTACCCACAGCGTGGTCACCTGGGTCTAGTGCTGGCTCGTCGTCAGCTTTTGCAGATGTGGAAATTTCATCATGGTCTCATTTATCAGACTTGAAGGAATATTATAAACAGGGATGCCTGTTTATTCGTGCACAGTGTCTGCTCTTAGGGTGTCCTAATCCCAGGGGCAAGTTCCCTGCAAGTCCAAACTCTGTCTTAAAATTCTAGGGGAGACTTTTCTCTCTCTTCCTGCTTGCTCCCCTGACTCCAGTGTGACTAAAGCAGGAACTGCAGCCGTTGTGCAACTTGAGGATGAACTAAGTGAGAGGAAAGGCTAGGTTGGGGCCTGAGGCGGGAAAGGCGCTAATTCATTTGGCTGTGGGAAGCTATTGGAAGTCTGTGTGTAGGAGCGAATCTGATCAGAGTGATCACATTTCCTATTATTTTAATGGAAAAAGGGACACCTCCAGAACTTAGGAAGAAGAGAGAAAAGCTAAATTTAGGCAGTCTAGTGCCTGCCGGGCTTTTGGCTAAGGGCACACCGTTTGCTCACCTTTTAACACCTTGAGTCAAACGGTGTGAATTCCTTTGTTACTGAGGTGAAATACCCCTTTTAACCAGAAGATGGGGCTGACTCCCTGGAAACAACTTCAGAGGCCTTTGGGGGAATGGTTTTCTGTATGGAGGTGCTGGCATAAGGTCGCATCCTTCACTGACTGTTTCATTACTGTGTTGATGAGATGCCATAGGACTTAACTCCTGTTTATATCAATTAGCCTGTTGTAAAACTGGTTTTGTTGTACATCATGTAGCTTACAAGTCGCAGGACCTATTGAGGACATTAAGTGAGGACTTCTTGTACCAGCTTTCCAAGTAGCTTCAGTCCGTGGATGTCCATCAGAATCCCATGGGCAGTGTTTTCGTGCCTGGGCCGCCCCCCGGAAATTCTGGCTTAATTGGTCTGGGGTGGGCTCTGGGTACTGGTTCTCAAACTCTGCTGCACATGTAGTCACCCGCAAGCTTTTAACACTCTGACCAGAATGCCTGGCGGTAGGAGCACCGTTTTTCTAGACTAGCAGGCGATTCTAGTGCCCGGCCAACTTTGGGAGTCTCCCAGGTGATTCTAACTGCCTGGCTAGGGAACACAGACATTTGGGTGCCTCTCTGGTTGTGGCTGAAGTGGGAATGGGTGGGATGGGGAGTGCAGATTAGCAGGGCGATGGCTGGAAAGGTCCCACCAAGTCACCCTCCATCTCCTTCTTGTGTTAGAGGCTTGGCCTCTTGCTTTCCATGTAGGGATAATGGAAGTGATGTGAGCAGGGTCTCAGCAGAGAGGAAGGGGCAAGAACAGCTGAGGCCAGGCATCATCCAGGACCCTTTCTGTCTGTGTCCCCCCAGCTTTGTGACGACCAACTGTGCTCTGCAGTTTTCATCCCGCGGAATCCGGCCTGGCCTCACTACTGTCCTGGCTCGGAACCTGGACAAGAATACTGTGGGTTACCTGCAGTGGCGTTGGGGTATCCAGTCGGCCATGAACACGAGCATCGTCCGGGACACCAAAACCAGCCACTTCACTGTGGCCCTGCAGGTGAGGATGGATTCCTCCCCCTCCCTCAGTGTGCCCTTGCAGCCTGTACCCTGGTCACCCTGCCCGAATCTGAGCACCTGTGGTGGGGACCCAGTGAGGCAGGTTCTAGTCACTGCCACCCAGGGTTGTTGAAATGCCGTTGCTTGCGGCCACCCAGTGTAGTTGTGTTTAGTTACCCTAAAGCCAGATCCCTTTTTCACATCTTCTGGTGGGAGGAGCCCACAGAATCAGGGTGGGGGCAGCCCTGGTTGGTAGGTGACCCCAAAGCAGAGTTTTGTGCTCATATGTCACTTTGTCAGGGGCACAGGGAGAGAGAGAGGCCACCCCTCAAAGGGCAGCTCTCACCAGCTGCTGCCATGCAGGAATGCAGGCTCAGTGTTAGACTTGTTCTTTTTCATGAGAAGGCAGAAAACTGGGTTTTTATGTGAAATCTCCCATTGTTTAATATTGGCTATGGATAAATTTTCACACACTGTGGGACTGCCAGATTGCAACCCATGCCTGAGAGGCCTGCCCACAGTGTGTGCTCAACAGCTAGTCAGAGTAGTACCCTCCTGGCCACAGGGTCTCGGTCACCAGCCATGGTCTCTTTTTCCCTGTCTTTTCAGCTTGGAATCCCTCACTCCTTTGCACTGATCAGCTATCAGCACAAATTCCAGGATGATGACCAGACTCGCGTGAAAGGGTCCCTTAAGTAAGTCCTGGCCTGGCGACCTAGGAGCGTGCCAACGGGGGGGTTTCTGATCATGGAGCCAGCTGGTGGAAGATACCCACTCATGCTCATCTGTCATATGTGACATTTCTCAAGCACATCCTACTGAGAGGTGGTGGGATTCACTACTGTGCAGACCCAGGGGTTGGGGAACGGGGGATCTAATGGACGAACTAGACCATCAGTGTCCTGGCTTTGTTCTGTTCACTGTGAAGAGGGCAGGACAGGAGGTGGGTGTGGGGACCCAGCCTCTTCTGAGTGACAGTGCGCGTGCACCCTGGTGCTATGGGGCTCTTGCCATCTGCTCCCTGCAGGGCAGGCTTCTTTGGGACGGTGGTGGAGTATGGAGCTGAGAGGAAAATCTCCAGGCACAGCGTTCTTGGTGCAGCTGTCAGCATAGGAGTCCCACAGGGCGTTTCTCTCAAAGTCAAGTAAGTTGAACTCAGATATTTGTGGCCACAGGTTACCTGGCTTCTTGTAATTCACCTGGGCTTTACCTATGGTAGGGGTGAAACAGGGAGGGAGTCTTCCGTTTCTGTCTCCAGTATTCCTTATTCCTTCCTAAAAATCTGAGTTTCCTTCTGACACCAGTTTCTTTGGCTTGAAAAACTGTCTTCAAATTGTTTTACAGTGTAAGTCTGCTAGTGGTGACCTCAGCGTTCTTCAACCAAAAAACATGTTTATTTTTCCTTTATTCTGTTTTATTAATATATTTTATCTATTGCATTATTTTATATTATATTAACCTAAAATAGTTCAGTTATGGGCAGTCCTGCCCCAGAGCTAAACTGTTGTTATTGCTATAATTTTTAAAGTCAGGTTTATTGAGATAAAATCTACATAAATTAAAATTCACCCTTTTTATTGTGCAGTTCTGAGAGTTTTGACAGTCATGTAAGTCATGTAACCACTGTCACACTCAATACATAGGACACTTCCATCATCCCCCAAATCCCATCACACCCTGTGTGTGGTCTTCCAGGCCCTGCCAACCACTCATCTGATTTGCCCCTTATATTTTTGCCCTTTCAAAATGTCATGTAAATGGAATCACGTGAACAGCTGAAGCCTTTGTGCTGCTTTCTTGGGCATAATGCATTTGAGATACGTCCATACTGATACATACATCAGCAGTGTGCTCCTTTTTATGACTGTTCAGTATTGCATTGTGTAGATGTCCACAGTGTCTCTATTCATCCGTTTAAAGATGTTTCCATTGCTTCCAGTTTTTGACAACTACAAACAGCCAATATAGACATTCATGTAATGTTCATACAGGTTTTGTATGAACATTAAGTTCTGATTTCTCTTGAGTAATCTGTTGGAGTGGGTGTGCTGAGGCATATGGTAAGTGTGCGTTTACTTTCTATAGCAAAGTACCCAGCCATTTTCCAAAGCGGTGGATTTATTTTACTTTCTCACCAGAAGCATGAGAGTTCCAGTTGCTCCATATCCTCGCCAACCTTTGGTTATGGGCTTAATTTTGCCTATTTTAGTGGATGTATAGGTATATCCTATTATGGTTTTGATTTGCATTCTCCTAATATCTAATGATGTTGAGTTGAGCGTCTTTTCATGTGCGTATTTGCCATCCATAGATCCTTCTTAGTGAAGTGTCTTAAGTCTTTTGTCTGATTTCTTATTGGGTTCTTTGGATTATTTTTTAGCTTTGAGTCTTCTTTATCAATTCTGGAGTTGCTTTTATTTTTAAAGGATATTGTCACTGGACATAGACTTCAGGGACAGCAGGTTTTTTCTTTCAGAATTCTAAAGATGATGTTCTACTTGTCTTCTGGCCTCAGTTGTTTCTGATCACAAGTCATTCAGCATTATTCTCCCCTGCGTGTAATGTCTTTTTTTCCTGGCTACTCAACTTTGGATTTACTTCTGTTTTTCAGCAATTTGACTGCAGTGTACTGGATGTGGCTTTGTTGTGTTTGTGCTGCTTGGGCTTTACTAAATCTTTTGCATTGGTAATCGTAGGTCCTACATCAAATTTGGTATTTTTAGGCCATTAAGTCTTCAAATATGTATTCCTGCCTCATTCTCTCCTCTCTGAGGCCAGTCACTTGATTGTTAGATCTCTTGATGTTTTCCCACAAGTTTCTGAGGCTCTGCCCGTTTATCTTCATTCCTTTCTCTCTTTGTTCCACCTACTGGATAGTTGCTGTTGGACTGTTTATAGGCTCACTGGCTCTTCTCTTGACTCCAGTCTGCTGTTGGGCCCATGAGCCCATTCAGTGAATGTAGATGACTTTGAGCATAGTTAAAACTGTTGCTTTAAAATCTCATCTGCTAGTTCCAACTTCTGGGTCGTCCAGGGTTGGTTTCTGTTCATTACCTTTTCCTGGTTTTTTCTGGGTATGTAGAGTAGTTTGCAGCATATCCTGGGTGTTGTGAGCAATACATTGTAGAGTGTCTATATTCAGTTATGTTTCTCCAAAAAGTGTTGATTTTCCCTTTTAGAAGGTAGTTAGAAGTCAAACTGCAAGTTCAGACTCCCTTTGTGGCCGGAGCCAAAACACAGCACATTTTACCCTCAGCGAGGCCACTGATAGATGAGGGACCAGCTGGAGGTGTATGCATGTTTATGCGCAGATTTTGGGGCTCCCCATCGCTGACCTTCCTTTTTATTAATTGACTTTGGGGTCCCCCCTAGTTCCCAACTTCTATGGTTGCCCCAAACTCTGACCTCTGGTGCTTCAGTCTAATGGGACTGCAGATGCTTTCCAGTTTTAGCCATCCAGATGGTACAGATTGAGAGTTGCCCTTAGGCTAAATGCTGGTGGGGGGACTCCGAAATTCCATTCTTCTGGATTTCAGCCCTTCCTTTGTACTGCCTGCCTTTAGTTACTATCTAGTGCCTGAAAGTCTTTGTCCCCCTTTAGTACGTGTGGTATGCTTTGTCCAGTAAGAGCTGCTCGGCCATTACTGGAAGCAGAACCTCCTCAATTTGCTAACTTCGGATATCTTCACACACTTACTTCGAATAGGTAAATTGAGGACTGAGATGTGACTGTCGCCAGGACACCTGGAGGAATGTCCGCTCCTGTCTTCTAAGGCCACATTTGCTCTGGTCAAGCATTAGTCTGTTGCTTTGCTCTTGAGGTCAGCAGGCACTGGGGCCTTTCTTCTGTCCCACACATCAAATCCAGCAGCTACACTGGATTTGGAACGGGAACCAGCAAAGGGGAGTGGGTTAGGAACAAGCTGATTCTGGGGTTCCTTCTGACTGGTGTTCACTGTGTCTGAGAGGCTCCTCCTGGCGCTGAGGCCCCCGTAACTTCCCTGGAAGCTTGACTCATCTTCGATGTGTTGTTGTTTTTGTTTTCAGGTTAAACAGGGCCAGTCAGACCTACTTCTTCCCTGTTCATCTGACGGATCAGCTCCTTCCCAGCGCTGTGTTCTACGCCACTGTGGGGCCCCTCGTGGTCTACTTTGCTATGCACCGTCTCATCATCAAACCATACCTCAGGGCTCAGAAAGAAAAGTGAGTTTAAAACATGTCACAGGGACGTCACTAAAGAACTCTATTTCTGTTTAAAAGGAGGTTGGGGAGAGCCATCTAGGGACAAAGCAAAAGCTGCACAAGCCTGTGACAAACAGATTTGCTTGAGATTGCCTTGGAAATATTTTTAAAGTTCTAGAACTAGGAATGCAGTAAGATCACAGACTGTTTGCTGGGCACAGGTCCAACAAGGGGTAACACACGCTAATGTGCGGCTTGTGTTTTTCTCGCATAAGGGAGTTGGAAAAGCAAAGGGAAAGCACAGCCACCGACATCCTGCAGAAGAAACAAGAGGCAGAAGCTGCAGTAAGTGCTGCATCAGGCCACCCTGGACGCCCTTTCACTCTGCGTGGATATCTAAACGCTGCGTGCAGAGCACGCACTGCTCCTCTCTCCTCTGGTCCGCAGTTCTTAAACTAGGGCTCAGGAAATACTTCCCATTCTGCGTACTGGTTTCACGCCTCGGGTCTCAGACTTCTTTCCCAGCAGCTGCATTGCTCATTGTCGTCTTTATATTGCCACTGGGAACTTCCGGCCCAGTTCTAAAGATGAGCTTCAGTTACCCTCAAAAGGCATAGCGAGGTGGTGTTTTAAAGTGGTGGGTCTTGTCCTCTTTTTCTTCCACTAAAGTGAATTGTGGGGTTTTTGGGTTTTGTAAGTGAATTGTTTCTACATGATGTAGCGGAGGTATCCAGGATGGGTGTCGGGTACTGTCGGGTTCTGTGTGGACAGGGGAAGCTGAAATGAACCCAACACGTGGTTGTGGCTCTGCACAAAGAGGCGGAGCCCAGCAAGGGCCCTGATGGCTGCCTGCCTTGTTCTTTGCAGGTTCGGTTGATGCAGGAATCTGTCCGAAGAATAATCGAGGCAGAAGAATCCAGAATGGGTGAGAAGACATGGCCTCTCTGGAAACAGGGCGGGCATGGGGGTCCCAAAGGAGCACACTGCTCCCGCACTCCATTGTGGGTGAATGGGGTGTGGGGGTGCCCTGCCAAGGCCCACCCCTGCTCTGACTCAGTCCCTCTTCAGGCCTCATCATCGTCAACGCCTGGTATGGGAAATTTGTCAATGACAAGAGCAGGAAGAGCGAGAAGGTGAAAGTGATTGATGTGACTGTGCCCCTGCAGTGCCTGGTGAAAGACTCGAAGCTCATCCTCACAGAGGCCTCCAAGGTAGAGCACCACGTTCCCAAGGGATTCAGACAGAAAAGGCTTCTCGGGTCTGGGGACAGCTGGCCCCATGGAATGGCCTCTTCTTCGCAGCCTTCATGTTGCCAGCATTCGCTGTGTGGGATGCTGCCCAGCGCCCAAGTTAGGTCCACACTGGATCAATTTACTTCCCACATTCATCCACTCAACAAGTATTTACTGAGTACCTACTGTGTGCCAGGTACAACAGCAAACAAAATTCTCATTTCTTTCTCAAGTGGCAAAGTTTGCATCTTCCGAGGGAAAGTCAGGGCCCTTCTAAGGGCACCGCACCTGCAGGTGGTAGCAGACAGCGGTCATGCTGGGTTTAAACACGTCGCGAGTCCTCTTTTAAATCAGAATGTTTGTTCCAGGCTGGGCTGCCCGGGTTCTATGACCCATGTGTGGGTGAGGAGAAGAACCTGAAAGTGCTTTACCAGTTCCGAGGCGTCTTGCACCAGGTGATGGCGCTGGACAGTGAGGCGCTCAGGATACCAAAGCAGTGTGAGTAGCTGCCCCTCTGCAGTTGCCTCCCCTGTGCAGAGACCAGGAGAGAGGCCCTCAGCTACTGACCGGACTGGGACCAGGGGCATCAGTGTAGAGCAGCAACCACCTTGTTACCTGCCTGGGAGCAGATGGGCTTGGGAGACTCGCTCAGGGCCCATGGTGTGCTGCCCTGCAGGGGCGTCAGCCTTTCCCAGGTGGAATTACAGTGAGCTCTTTGCTTGGAACTGCAGCTCAGGTGGGGGGTGTGAAGTAACCCAGCTGCTCATTTACATTCCAGAACCATCCATTGGCCAGGCAGCCTCTGGTCTGCTGATGGCTGAACCCCATGGAAAGAGGCCATGGAAACAGTTGCCTTTTCAAACAGAGTCTGTTTTTTCTTTTACAGCTCACAGAATTGATACAGATGGATAAACTGCTTGAAAAACCAGATTAAGAGGCTGCAAAAAATCTTTTCCTGGGATTCTACAAATTTGGAAGCAGGGGAAAAACCCAGACATCAGATGTGTTTGTTTTATATTATTCCTATAGGAGGTGGTACCGTATCAATTATGTGAAGGGACACAGACACCCTGCTTTCATGGGTGCTGTAGGGAGGACTGAGGCAGCCCTACCAGGACCAGAACCACAGCACAGCTGTGTCTGTTTTCCCAAGGATCATGTTCCCAAGGGAAGGGCCCTGGGCCCCCAGATGCCTCTGGGTCTCTCCCCGGGGTCCTCAGCATGTGCTGACCGCAGCCACCCAGTAGTTCTTGGTCTGTCTTGAGGTCATTGTGGAACATCCTGCCCTCACAGGACCATGAACTGCTTTTCCTGAAACCCACACTCAACATGGAAAGAAAGGAAAGAACAGAGGTCTGCAGTCACTTGAGCATCTGTGTGGTCAACTTCCCAAAAACCACCTTTTCCTGCTGAAATATGGAGAGGAGTGTGGGTTTATAAATCTGCTTTTTATCTGAGAACAAATGGCTTGGGAAATTAGTCTCTTTTTCCTCCCAGAACTTCTCGAATCATTCCACTGGCACCTGGCCTGGGACAGAGTAGTATACCTCTATTCCCAGGGCCCATCCCTGTCACAGGTCACTTCCTTCCAGGACCTCCCCCATTCTTGTGGGAAAAGACGGGTGTCCCTCTCACCTCATCCCAAACGGCTCAGCCTGACCTGCCTGCTTGGCACACCACAGTGCAGTGTTGGAATGAAGGTGGTCAGGAGGAAAGGGGAAACGGATGAGGGGGCATAGAGCGCCCCTTTCAACTGCCAAATCTGTCCTAGCAGCTCACGGCCAGCAGGTGGCGCTGCTACTCCCCATACCTGGTCTGGCCCAGCTCCCTCCTCACAGGGACTCCTTTCTGGGTGTCTGCTCTCAAGACCTTCCTCCGCTGGCCTATGGTGGATGCAGAATACTTTAGGAGCCAGGATACTTCTGAACAACGGGATCAGTTACCTGTCATGAGCACAGGCCTGATGGGCAGTGGTTCTGACAGCTCCCATCAGGCTTCACCCCGACACTGGTACCAGTGGAATCGCTAATGACCCCTTCCTCCAGTTTTAAAAAACAATTCAGGTTGTCCAATCCTTAATATTTATCTCCATTTTAAAAAGTCCTCTGAGCTGCTGCTCTGAATGTGAATGTGCAATCAGCGTTGCGTTTAGTCTGACTTCAGACACAGCCCTCTTCCTTCCACAGCAGGTGGTCTTTTGGGCACCAATTCTCTTCATTCTGCCTGAAATGGCCTGTACAGGAGGCACTCTCTTACCACAATAAACCTTTCCTGAAAGCTTGGGGTAGTGTTTCAGTGCATCTGTACATTTTTGGGAGTGAGCAAAATAAGGGAAGTGCCCCTCCTCAAAGGCCTGTCCCAGCCCTTACCCTTCAGTTTAAACCACATTAAACCATGAAGCTTAACCAGAAAATATTGTTCTGTTTTCTGCGTTAGACACCTGAGAAAAAGCCCTGAGTTAGGAAATCTCAGGCTAAGTTTCTTTTTTTCCCCCTCACCTGGGGATATTTTTTCCCATAGAGAAACGGGGGGCGGGGGGTGGTATGGAGAGGAACATAGATGTGAGAGAGAGACATCGATTGGTTGCCTCCTGCATGAGACCCAACCAGGGCCGGTGATCAAGCCTGCAATCAAGGTATGCACCCTTGGCTGGAATCGAACCAGGGACCCTTCAGTCCACAGGCCAACACTCTAGCCACTGAGCCAAACCAGCTAGGGCTATGTATTTTTTTTCTTTTTTTAACTAAAGTACCTTTATTCTTTGTAGTCAAAGGTGGTCACACCCTGCCTGCTCTCCAACAGGAAGTCAGTCTTCTCAACACCACCAGAGCAGGAGAGAGAACACTGAATTATGGCTTGTTTTTATTTATTGATTTGCAAGAGACATCGATTTGTTGTTCCACATATTTATGCATTCATTGGTTGCTTGTATGCGCCCTGACCAGGGATCAAACTTGCAACCTTGGCATATCGGGATGATGCTCTAACCAACTGAGCCACCCAGCTAGGGCTAGTACTTGTTTTTAAATAGAGGAAAACCTACAGGGTAGGAAGACACCTGATTATGTACTTAGATCAAACCAAGCTGAGAAGGGCACTCCTTAGAACAGAGGCCAGTGTCAGCCAGAGAGCCAGCTGTCTAGGCGATGGAGGGGCCACTCCTGCTTCCTGAGAGCTGTCACCCCCCTGGTGTGGGATGGGAGTGACTCATGCACTAGTCCCTCCCTGGACCCAGCTGCCCCACATGGAAACTTGTTCCCTCCCCACTGGGGGAATATCTGCCACTCTGGCTCAGCATGGTATGGATCCAAGGACACTGGCCTGGCTTGTGCTGAATGGACACCAGGGGATGTCACCTACTGGATGACCAAGTTTCTCATGTTCACAGCCCCACCCCCTCAGAGCCTGAGGCCACCAAACTTCACCTGAGGCCAAGCTGAGCTCCTCACCTGGCATGCCTCACTGCTGCTGTATCAGCAGCAGGACTGAAGTGTTCATAGCTAGAGCCCCAAAACTGTGGCCCCGCCTCCCAGGGGCTCAGATGAGAAAGCCTGGCTCCCTAACAGCTCTGCTGCTCTGGCTGTCGCCTGGCCCCCAGGCCTGGCTGCCCTGCTCCGTGGGCTCGCAGGCGGCTACACATCCTCCGTATCAATAGCCTCTGGGCCTTCAAGCGCTTCCGGAGCTTTTCATTTTCCTTCAGGGTCACAAAGAGTTTTTTTTTTAGGGCATCTAAGTCCAAAAGGGCGTAGCTGTGATCAGATGGCTGCGGGGGGCTGGCTGGCTGACCAGGGGCCTCAGTTGTTTCCGGTCTATGTGGCAGGACCTGAGGACAGGTGAATGGAAGGTAAGCAGTGCCCAGAGCCAGGGGCCAGCAGCAGACTGTTCACCAGCAGGAAGGGTCTAGGGACCCTGCCCAAACCCTGGTTCTTGCTTTCACTGGGAAGGCCTGAAATCGGCCACACCCTGTGGTGCTTGTAGTTCGAGCACCGATTCTTTCTCATTTTGTTTGAAGCAAATCCCCTCCTGCTGAGACCAGCCCAGCATGTGCCCCCTCGGTGCCTGGCCTTACCTGTCCAACAGGGCCTCCGGCACTGGGCGTGGGTTGTGGCCGCAGTGCTTCGAGGGCAGTGTCTGTCTGTCTCCCCGGGCCGTGCTCTCTGGCCTCGGCTTCAGGGAGGATCTGGAAACGCAGGACATGGCTGCAGCACAGACTAACAAAAGTGCAAAAGGACAGAGCCCCAGTGTAGACTGCCCCCCCCCCCCCCC